CGCGCCATGAAATGAGAAAAATGAGTGCTCAGTAAAAAATAATTTAAAGCAGCCTTTCTAAAGAAGCATTCTAAAGGTCCCAAATGGATTATTAAAAATCTGCAAAGTATTTAAATACGAGTTGTACATTTACTGGAAACGTAGATAACAAACCAGGAAAAGGGGGGAATAACGTGACGACTAGAAGTGAGGACAAACCTATTGTTTTCCTTTTTGAAAAGAAACCACTGCTCAGTCTAAGAGAAGCTAAAAAAAATTTTGGTTTAAAAGGATTAGATATATCCCTAAATACAATGCGGGGTTGACTTCAGAGGTCTGACTTCAAACGGAGTACTGCTGCTATATATGCGTTTGTTTGTTGTACGTACATTGAAAAAAAGTTGTATTGGGCCAAGCAAATCATTAACCGTGGTTGGAGCAGTGTAATATATACATATGCGTCAACTCTTGCATTGTTCAACCCCTACGATACTTGTTTGGCTAAAAAAAAAGACAAAGGAGGATATTGTTTATGGATTCTTCTCTACTAATGGATCTGGGGTTTTGAGATGCTTCACAGATAGTTATACGAAACATTGTAACGGAAAATTTAGTTTCCAGTTAAACAAACGTCAGCCATAATAAAACAATGTATTTTCTATAATTAGAACCTTTTTTTGCCAATAAAAGATTTGGAAAACGAAATTTTTATTTTTTGAAAGCACTGTATTTGCAAAATAGGGGAACTGGGATTATAGGGAATCGTATATATACTCGTATCTTAATTAAATTTTATATTTATGTGTATCTTTTATACTATATATATGTGTATTATTATACACAGATCTTAGTTAATTTTTCGTAAATTTATTCGGCTAGTTGTTTTGGTTGTGGGGAAGGATGCAATTTTTATGCCATACCTTTGCAGAAGTTTAAATAAACGATATAGATTTGCCATATATCAAACTGCTTCAGTTTTAGCATACATCATGAGTGCCTTACGCTTTAGGAGCAAAGGATTAATACTATTGTACTTTTAATTTGTATTGTAAATTATCTTATTGCAATGCGAGTTCCTTTGAATAATTCTACGAGATATACTGGTGCTTCCCAAGAAAGCGCTATGCCATTTGGTTTTTCTTCAATAAATGAATTTAACTCCAGGATTTCTGTGTTATTATACATTTTTCACTATCATTGAAGGGAGATGTTCAACATAAAATCAAAACCGAAAAACGTCTAGTGTCAAGATCCCCCATTATCTAAAAAGCAAGCTATTTGATATTAAACACTTGATATTCCCCTTATGCTCTGATTTCTAAATGATAATAAACAAAGCGGTCCAATTACAAATATTTTTTATTTGGATCTTGAAAATACATATTTTTACCCATACAGCTGAATGTAGATAGTAGTGCGGAAAACACATTTTTTTTGAAAAGTGAATGGCATTGATATTAAACACTTGTTCTTTCTATATATTATGTATTAAAATTTTTGCAAACACAGCTTTGCAAAAGTTGAATTTAGGTACAGTTTCTGTTTTCATTAATATTGAGACTGCTTTGAGTAATTGTTAAACCTTGAAACTTAAGAACATTGCAAGAAAATGCTTACTCCGGTTCCTTTTTTATTATATTGCATAATGTATATCGATTACCATATAACCAAGTAGAATATTACGGTAGAAGTACTATAACTAGTCGACTGTTGCTAGTTTCCGTGAAAGTCCTGGCATAGACCTTACCACTATTTTGCAGTAATTAAAAAATCTGAACAAGTTTACCTTTTTAGTGAGAAGAAAGTTTTAAAGTTGATTTGTCAATAAGAAGGGCTAAGTTCGGATGTAACCGAACATTTTATACTCTCGCAAAGTCAAATGGTATACTCGTTTGAGATTTCTTTGTGGATTGGCTGATATTTTCGGTAAAAGGTCAACTATAGGCACTGGGGTCCACATATTTAGTACTTAGGGGCTTGAACAGTTTCGGTTCGATTTAGACAATTTTTGGTCACAAGGTGACATACTTTAAAAGTATTATTCACGCAAAGTTTTACCCCGATATAATCATTGGCGCTTGATTTGCATAGTTGAAAGTGAAAAAATCAGATGAAATTTAAAATGGTGTTATATGGAAAATAGGCGTCGTTGTGATCCGATTTCGCCCATTTTCGCACCATAACATAGAAATATGAAAATAATGTTATGTACTGAATTTGGTTGAAAGCGGTTAAGCAGATCCCAAGATATGGATTTTCACCTAAAAGTGGGCGGTGCGACGTCCACTATCTAATTTTGAACACAGTTCCTATAAAGTCATCTTATACCATCCCAGAGATACAATTTAATGTCTCTGGCTTGTTTAGTGCTTGATTTATCGCGCTTTTAGTAGTTTTTAACAGCACCGTTATATGGGGAGTGGGCGGGATTGTCACCCGATTTCACCCATTTTCACACCGTCGATAGAGGTACTAAAAACATTTGTTTCCAGTGAATTTTGTTATTATAGCTTCAGTGGTATAGGAGATATGCACATTAAACTTATTAGAGGGCGGGACCACGCCCACTTTTAATTAAAATTTTAAACTGCAGATGCCCCTCCTTAATGTGATCCTGTATACCAAATAAGAGTCTTGTATCTTGTTGTGGAGCTTAGTTATGGCAATTTATTTGTTTTTGAATAATGGCGTTTTGTGAGCGTGGCAGTGGTCTGATTATGCCCATCTGCAATACCAACCGTCTCACGGTACCAGGAAACATGTCTACCAAGTTTCATAAAGATATCTCAATTTTTACTCAAGTTAGAGCTTGCACGGACGGACAGACATTCACCCGGATTTCAACTCGTCTCTTCATCCTGATCATTTATATATACATAACCCTATATCTAACTCGATTAGTTTTAGGTGTTACAAACAACCGTTAGTTGAACAAAACTATTATACTCTGTAGCAACAAGTTGCGAGTGTATAAAAAGTTCTGGAGTACCGTAACTATCGAAAACCATACATATCATGAATTTCAATGCAAGTATCTAAAAGAAATTGCGAAATATTAGAGTGAAACAACTTTTCCAGTTTATTAAATCAAGCGGGTTGATTCGTTTTTCTGAGATTGTTGCTTACGTTTTCAAGTATACTGAGATCAGTGGTAATACGTAATAAAAAGTTGATATAGTAGACACATTAGACAAAATACTGACGAAAATTCACCAGTTGTCTTACACAATACGGGTGTTAATTAATTGATCCATTCATGTCGATATTTTATTCCAGTAGAATTTTGAATTAACTAAAAACAATTTTCCCCATGTCTGCCTAGACATTTTATAGCGCCGTAATAATTCAACAAAAGCCTGGGTCATTGTACTGCCGGCTTTCAAAATGAATAAGAACGGTCTCTAATTGGAGTTAATTGCCCAAACAACAACAAAAAATTACGAGTAAGGCGATTAAGGCAGCATTCATATTTATTTACGAGTTGAAAAATAAATCTGTGGAAATCTTAATAAAGTAGAGAGACAGGGAAAAACAGAACTTTCCAAATACACAGTAAAAGAAAAACACTTGTTGGTGTAACATGTAATGAGGAAAGCAGTGAGATGACGGCGAGTGACGTCCGCATGACCGGCGAGAATCACTTACGTGCCATTAGAAAGCAAGCAAAATGCATACACATCGACATACACACACACGCAAACGTATATCTGTGTACTCGGGCAGCTGTTTTCCACTAAAAATCGGTATCTTTTGCTGTTAGTCATTTGACGCGACCAAACGAAAGATAGTGCAAAGCAAAATTATGCGCTTAGCGATAACATACAAATGCACGATTTCACTCATTTTTACTCATATAATTTTTTCACCTCATGATTTTCACATGACAAACAAGGTGGATGGGTAATAATACAAAATAAGAGCGCTCTTTCATATAATTAAAAGAGTGTAGCAGCAGCAATGCCGGCTTTGTTGGCTTACAAATCTCCTTTTTTATTTCTTATTATTTTTCGCAACAACTATACTTTTATACTTGCTTCGGCTGCAGCTGCTTCTCGTAATTTTATAATAATTAATTTTTGAGGTTAGAAATGGCGCTTTCCATGTGTGCGGCAAACGGGTGGTCGACCTCGTGTGCACACAAAAACAGAGAAAAGTAAAAAACAAACAACAACGAAATATGAGCGAAAGCAATTCGTAAAAGAATTTCTCATTTTTTGTTATTGTTTATAAATAGTACTAGCATTAGAGAGTAAAAATAGTACAATATAAAGGGAAGTATAAAATAGAAGACATACGTCACTTATTGTGGTGAAATGACTTGCCAAGTATTTGCAAAGCCACGAATACAAAAACAAAAATATTTAAAAAAAAATTTATGAAATAGAAATGTTTGAAATTCTTTCGGATTCGATGGAGATTTTTAAGAAAGATTAGGAAGTATTAATAAATAAAAATAAGTAAATAAAGATTAAACATTTTTTGAAGATGGGTGGTGGTGATAATTTTTTAAATATTTAAATATAAATTTTGAATTAACTTTTTTCGTATTCACTATGCTCTACTGGCATATGGTATATATTTATATATTTTTGTAACTATATGCTGTGTAAGTAATGTGGTTCAAAGTATAAAAAGTACTAAGTTTTTTTAGCTGGCTTAGTAAAGTATAAGTATATTCAAACAAATATACAAAAAGGTAAATTAAAAAAAAATATTTTTTATGCATTCACAATAGTTTTCTGGCATATTATACAGTGCGAATATTTTTCAAAATTTTATTTTATTTTTCAAATATATGTACATATCTATAACGGTATATTATAGTTCACTATATTTAAAATAATAAATTTTTCGTTTAGAATGTGCATTCACAATTGCCTTAAGGCATACAAAACAAAGTAGTTTCGTTAGAAATGAATTTTTTTCACTGTATACCTGCTACAGACTGTTTTATATGATACTATATATAAGTATATAGTATACATATACTAAATATAAAAAAATCAGTTCGCGCCACGCACCTTTGAGCCAATTTGATTGCCGCATTGACCAGCTTGCAAGTGAACGATTTCCCTCATTTTGAATTGGTTGTGCTAAAGACACACTTTTCACCACAAAACAAAAACAAAAACACTGGCAAATTGAATGCAATTGATTTTTCCTAGTGGCTTTTGCTGTTGTTGTTTTTGTTGCACTACAACGCCTTTTTAACAGCCTGTTAAAAATTGTATATAGGTTCGCGTGTAAGTATGTCTAGTATGAGGGGGCACTCGCGTGTCACGCGTCCACTGTTCGTCGCAAAACACACGTACAAACGCACAAACAAATTGATAGCGCAAAAAGTATAAGCTAAAACAATTATTTTCTTTATTTTGCTTATATGCTCGTATGTATGTATGTATGTATGTGACCGCGTGTGAATATCACTGTGTAAAGCGTAGAACCGTACGACCGAGTATCTCGAAGATGCGACCAACTACTGAAACGAAATTCTCAATGAACAGGCATTGCACGGGGCGACTGGCTTGCTTTGGGCTTGACGGGCAACAGTGGCTAGTGCCGCCGCAGAGCGGAGAGCGTTTATTATATGAATAGTGTAGAATTGTATGTGCAAGTATGTGTGTATGTATGTTCGAGCATACGTGTATAGCGGACAAGTTGACAAGGTGAAGGCAAGAGGAGAATTGAAATTTCTGCGAGCGGTCTGGTGATCGGGTTAGTGTGCTACATTTAGCACGTGTGTTTGTATGTATGTCTGTAGCTCGTGATTTGTTGTAACGAAAGTGTTGGGCCTGAGTGTTGCAGCAGCATATACATACTTACTTACGTTAGTTGTGAAGAAGGTTCTAGAATTTCGACTAGTTGCAAGGTTTCAGATGAACAAATGAAGAGAAGTTAATAAAATCCAAATGTGACTTTTAAAATACTTCTTTTGAATATCAGCGCTCTTCTTGATCAATTTTAATTAATTAATTTCGATTTTAAGACACTCTGCAGAGTAAATTTTTTGGTAAAAATAAAAACAAATTTTGTCAAAAATTAAAACGTTCATTAGACCTTAATCTATAATAATAATAATATTTATTTTGGTTTCTGGATTTGAGATAATTTTAAGTAGACAAATCTTTCTCACCTCCAAACAATTTTTTGGAGGTTTTTATGAAGATCGGCTACGGGATCAAAGGAATACAAAATCTTTCAAATTTAATCTCCAAGAAAAAATATATGCTTTTTCCCCATTTTCTTACCAATATTTGAAAAAATGGTCGTTTTGTACTATATTTAATTAACATTTACACACACTAGGCAACTCTTGGAAAGAAATTTATTCAACGTAAGATTTCTTCAATATTTTTCGATTATTTCCTCTACCACTCTACCCAAGCTTTATAAACAACCTTTTTGGTTTATAACCCATATTGTTTTGATATCTTTTTAGTTTCTTACTAAATTTTAATTTAGTTGGTAACTCTAGCCAAAAAATGGTTAAATAATGCATACATAAGCATTCGAAGATAGATTCCTTATTATATTATATTGCTTATTTTCTATAGTAATTATGGTTATATGACTTACTTCTGTTCAACAATTCCTTTACCCGGGCAACCACAACTCTGCGGAATCCACTCCTGCCTATTACTATGCTGTGCTTCAATGCGCTCAATTTTTGATTATTTCTTGTTTTTGTATATCTGGTTTATTTGGCCCTGTTTGCCACAAACACATATTAGTGTGCTATCGGTGTGATAAGAGCGCGAGCATTTGTAGTAAAAGCGAACAAAGCGTACACGATCAGCGTGTGATATATTGTCGACGCCAGCAACGACTGGCACATACACAGCCTGACACACATAACGGCAGAAAAACATTTCTATATATGTATATACATTTATTATGCGCGCATAGATACATGCATAAATATGTATGTATGTATGTAGGAATGTTTTTTGTTGTTGCTAAATGCCGGTTTGTTGGTTGGCATTCATGCGGCACGATCACTCAGCGCTTAAGCTCTTGGCAAACTGCTGCACCAACCCGCCTGATTTGTTTTGATGAGTAATTGTGGATGCAGAGCGTCAATTGCTAAAGAATCTCAGAAATGTGTTTGGTAGAGCAAGTTAGAAACGTGAATAATTTATTTGTAAAATTGCTCAATCACAATCTAACTGTTTATTGAATGTGATGCTTTTACGTAGAAATATTAATTTGAAGGGCCCCGAGATCGAAGCAGACATAAAGTGCTGCTATAATTTTTGGAATCCATTAGCTAGTGAAGAAATATTTACAGATATACCGTATATTTTTATATATTGGTTGGAAAAGAATATCGGAGCAAAGTTGGGAAGGATGACATTTATTATTATCATTTTATATTTGTATACAAATTTCTATTTATATTTTCTAAAGCATTAAAAAAAGAGAAGCCTATAAAGAAAATTAAAACTTCCAACTCGCTTGGTTTCTGTGAATCTTCAGAGTAAACTTTATACCTATACAAACTCATGTATGTATGTAAGTATATATACTTATTTATCCATAATTGTCATTGCCGGCGATCCCTATTATCAGTATATGGAGTATTAAGGAAGTTAGGGACCGATTTAGAATATTTTTGGGCGACAGTTGCCTCACATTACATGCAAATTTTGTGCTGAGTTTTATATTTATCTTAACTTTTGTTGTTACCTAAGCCATCTACTGTTAAGGCAGATAAGCTGCCGATAAGGAAAATTGTATTTTGTGGAAAGTGGGATTGTTTTTAATGCCATGTTGATCATTTTCACACCACAATTGTCAATTGCTTTGATCCCAAAAGATTTAGTGGGCAAAGTTTTATTAGTTTACCAATATGTACATATGTACTTATGTACAATAATCCTATTAAAGAGCGCATGCAGGCCCTGTTTTACTAATTATGCTCCTACTTTATCGAAAATTTTGTGGGTCTTCACCTCTATCTATTAGTAGCCTCTTCAAAGCTATGAATTTTCGCATGGACAGTTGGATGGATGCGCCGATTCAAATAACTGTTATTTGAATAAAACTATTATACTCTGGGTAACATATAGCAAGTTTATAAAAAATATTTCATTTATTCGACAGTCTCTTATTGTATACAAGGCCAAATAACCCTTTGTAAAATTTCAAAAACATAAAAAGTTACGAATCAAACAAACAACTGGCATAAATGAATTAGACTGGAATAATAAAATAGCTATAACTATCCTCGATTCTCCAAACAAGTTCATAATGACAGATACCTACATACATATGTAAATATGTATATGCACATAGAATCATGCATTAATAGTGTGATTACTCTTTGCTACTTAAGGAATATAAAATCCTTTCATAGCTTAGCAATTAACACACACTTTAGCTGGGAGGACGCGGAGTCGGATAAAAAGTGATAAGCCGTTTACAACGAATATACTCACATATGTACTAGTAACTGGTATATACATGAATACATGTGTATGTATGGTATGTATATACACAAACATATGTAATATAAAAATGTACATCAATTTTTCAATCAGAATTACTTTTCGTAATAGCTTTGTTAAAATAGTAAACTCAGCGTCTTAGTGAAAGTTCGTTAAAAGCGTGGACTTGATTAACGTTTTTTCTTAGTACTAAAAAACTCTTCCAAAATTTTCATAATAGTATATTTGGATAATTAAGTGCTTGCGCTAGGCAAAGGCGCGTCGTTGACTATTTGCTTGGCTCTTGGCGTGTGACATGCAGTTTCAATATTTACTATTATTATTATCAATATTATCACAATTATCTCTTCGCCTCAATCGCTCTTATTTATACCCATATTATTCAGCGGTATTTTGCTCTCTCTGTAGCTAGTTTTAGTGGTTCTCTTTAGTTATTACGTAGCTTTGTACATTTATATGTGTTTGTGTTAGTTGACACATATGCCTAAAAGTATGCAATGCTTAATTTTTTAAGATGAAAATTTGGTTAAGCTACGGTACCTTGTTGAAAATTTTGCGATCTATACAAATTATTTTATATAACACCAATGTTTTCGATCTTTTTGAAAGTGTATTATATTCTTGAGTTAAGAATCTCAAACAAACAATACACAAGATATAAATTTAGGAATTCTTCCATATCCATTTGTTTTAATGGTCAAACACGCGAGCCGCGTTTGTCTGAAATTCAATTAAAAAAAAAAAGTTCTTATACAATTTTGACCAAATTTTATGAATAACTTCCCCACGAAGCGAGGGGAGAAATTAGTATAAATTTTCCACCACCTCTGAGATCTAACATCTTTCTCTAGATAAAAATAGGAAATACCTACATATGAGATACCTTAGTAAAATTTTGAAAAAAAAAATCAATTGGTTCATTTGCAGAAAGCAGCAAGGCTCCGGGGGTTACATATCCTTACGTAAGTCAGCACCCGCCGTAGTCTTGAGGGATCTAGCTAAGGTCAGATTTCTTACCTGTGTGTTCGTTGTTCCTCAATATCACGGATAAGAAGCCTTACCATGGTCGGGTGTAATATAAAGGGCTGGGGGCCTTTGATTAGCCCAGTATCGAACGGAGCTTACGGACACCTGGCGCCCTCCGTAATAAAAAAGCCTTACTTGCGTAGCGGGGGCTATGCGCAAGCGGACATACTTCCCCCCACACTCGTGGGACCTGTTATGAACCTTAATACTAACAAAAATAATAATAATAAAAAATACAAATGAGCCGGGGTCTCCATTAAGTAAACCGGAGAGAGCTAGTTACTCACATAAAAGAGCAGCGTTTGGAAGAGCTCGGAAACAACCAGCAAGAGGACACGAGCAAAGCTTGGTCCTGATGATAAGGCAAGCATAAGTAAAGTTGCAGAAATCTAAAGCTAGCCCCAAGAAAGCAAAAGCGAAAGAGGCAGCCAGACCCTGCAGCTAAAGCACGGCTGCAAAGCAGGGGAGGAGGGAGATGCCAAAGGGGCTGCTGCTGGAAGTGCATCTGCCAGAGAGTGGCCTGTTTTTAATATTCAGGATCCGGCAAAGGCAAAGTATGCGCCGCATACCTACTAAGGAAAGTAGAGATGCAACCGCCAACTAAAGAGAAGCTAACGAAGGGTTCACTGCGCGAGAGCAGTCATACCAAATTTCAAGCTGGAACCGCCAGTAAAGGTAGTCAAGCGACAGAGGTCAACTGAAGAGGCTAAGCCGTCAGCCAAGAGACCGAAGACAAAGAGCGTAACGCCCGCAAAATTATTTGCAGATATGGCCCGAAACCGAATTGTCACCGTTCTGGATGAAGTGGATTCCGAAGGAGGAATACCAAAGCCCAATGGAAATGGGTGCAGGCTGCGCTGATAAATGTGGCGCTGGAAGTGCTACTAAGCAATCCGGGTCCACCACCGTCATGCACAAATGCCGGCTGGTACCAGGGCCAAATCAAAATTATTGAATGCGACGACGAGAGATTGATCGCACTATACAAAGCTGCTATAGCTAAGGTAGGGCAGGTATACCCCGGTGCAAAATAGATAGTAGTGGATAAAAAGACATACCATCCAGACCAAGTGCAACAGCTTAGAGCATAAGCGCCTGCAATCATAGTCTGCCCACGGAGGGGTGGAAGTTCGTCAAGGCATTTGAGGACAATGAAGCAGAATCTGGGGTGGAGACCAAAATGGCCACGATGCAGATTCTGCTGTTACTAACGAAAGAATCCATCGAACCGCTGGCGAAAAGTGGCGGGGAGATAAATTATGGATTTACGAAAGTGAGGATAACACCCTACAAGTCGGACGCCGATGCTGCCGACCATCTAGCATCGGAGAACGAGATATGCAAAGTAGAGGAAGATACTATGGAGTCCTCGAGAGATGTGAAAAGTCTAGAGCAAGGTGAGCATTTTTCCGGGTCTAAGCTTGCTGCCAGACTCTCAAACATGTATACTGAGAGAGAGCTTATAAGCGACTCTCAGGAAGATGCAGATATAACAATAGTTAATGCGTCCTCTACAAATTATTCTTCATCACAGCACACTAGCTTCATCAGATCTA